ATTTGTTAGTCTCTAAGGTGCCACAAGTACTCCTGTTCTTTTAATATCAGGATTAGGAAACGCTGGATAATCATTTCTAAACCCGTGGAAGGCTACATCTACATTACAAGCTAGGGATGAGATTCCCAGCTCGCATACACCTACAGAGAGTTGGCATGAGTGAAAAATAGTAGCATAGCCACAGCAGCACAGACAGCGGCAGCATGGATCAGCCATGCCAAGTATAAACCTGCTTGAACCCAATGTGGGCACGTACTTGCAGGGCCGGCTCCAGCATTTCTGCCGCCCCAAGCAAAAAAAAAAAAAAAAAATTTGACGGCGGCAGTTCAGCAGCAGGTCTTTTGCTCCCAGAGGGAGCAAGGGACCTGCCGCCCCCAAATTGCCGCAGGTGCCGCCCCAAGCACCTGCTTGTTAAGCTGGTGCCGGCCCTGCGTACTTGGCACAGCTAAGATGTGCTGTTGCCCATGCTACTGCAGATATACTGCTATTTATACTTGCGCTAAGTATGTATATGTGAGCTGGGATCACACCCCTACCTTGTAGTGTAGATGTAGCCAAAAAAAAGTTACTCTTCAAGGTGTGAGGTTATCTTAAAAACCTTCAATAATTAGATTTCACCCCACAAGAAGAATATATCAGCATACTCCAATTCTAACATCACTGAGTTAAGTAAAAATGGTAGAAAGATCAAATATTAAAAGAACAGATGCTGTACAGAAATGAAACCACCATAGTGGGAGATATTAGAATTAAAGAAAGTTACATGAGAAGGGTTAAAAAAATGAGTTAGTGGATTGATTTATGCATTTGGTGAAGATCACTAATGCAACTTGCTCAAACTTATTTGTTGCAACATCTCAGACACATTGTGCACATCCTGTATGCTTTTAATGACAAAGCAGAATATAAACTGCAAGTTTCATAAGTAAACAGGAAATCAAAAACAGTCCAAATGCAATACAGCCAAATCAATGGTTCCATAGGAACTTTTCATTTTTTAATTAATGTCATTCCTTTTAAATTTTCACCGTCTACGTTGCATTAAGTACACCTCCTCCGCCCCAAAATTTGTTTTCTACGGCTTTGTTTGTTTCCTTAAGTACAATATCCATACCTTAAAAATTTCTTCTCTCAGAGTTATTCAACTTGCACAGACTTTGCAATTTTTACCGGGGAGCTTTTAAATCACAAGAACAAACTTTCATGCTTTAAAGAGCTGCTCGTGTACTCAGTGCATTCCATCCAAAGGCTCCAAGCCTGTAAACTGATACGTGTGGGCAAGAGCCGCATTGATACAAGGCATGGAAGTGTCAATGGAATACTGACAAGGGTACAGAAGGTCCAGCCACACATGAGCTTGTGGAGTTGGGACTCTATTCAGCATGCAATTTTCAAATGGTCAGAACTTTGATAGATTTTAACAAAAAATTGAGGTTGACGTAAGGCACTAATGCTCCTTAAGAAGTAAGCAAATGCCATGTTTCGGCCATTTTTGCTATAGCCCTATTTTTAGAAGTATAGTTAGAATTTTCCAACATATTTTAATCTTTTAACTAAAAATTGCTGCTAGGATTTCACTCGTATGTTGAACAGAGACCAAACATGTAAGAGTTTGTGTTAAAGAGCTCTATTCTTTGCTCAGCCAAACACCCAAGTAAGGCAAGCGGGCCTACTGTAGAGTGGCCTAGCATGTATAAACTTTAATTTCCTTTATCTTAAATGGGATTTACATTACAGGATCTCAAAAAACAGCTGTGTCCTTAGCTTGTGTCCTTAGGTCTGGACGAAAGTAAAGGCAACCTTTTAATTAGAGAACTGGTGGTTTGTGTAGTAACTAATTTCTTGCTGTGGTAAGGGGGCTAACCTTTCTAACGTGTGAATATATGTGAACATGTAGATGTTTAAGTAGTAGCACTATGTAAATCTATATTAAAAAGAACACAATTAGATACCAACTCAAATTCTAAGCAGGTGACAGATCACAGAGTGTAACCCTTCATTCTTAAAGGTATCAGCATTAAATTACTCTACCCGCTAGGGGAATCATGAGTTGCTGATCACCACTGTATTAAAGTAGATAAGCTAGCCAGAAGGGGAGCAAATAGAGTACATCATTCAATTAATGGTGCTTTGAAGGAGTGTAATAATAGTTCAAAAGCTGAGAAAAACTATGCCTCCTTGACTGTACGGGGTTACTATGTGTAAGGTTAGAGTCAGAGTTTATGGCCAGAAGGGACCACCAGATCGACTAGTTTGACCTGTTGTTTATCACAGGACACCAACACCTCATCCACATACTAAACCTAAGAGCTGAAATTAGACCAAAAGCAATCAAAAGTAGACCAAAGATTCATCATGTATTTCATTGAACTCCTGATATGACTGACTGTGTTGATTTGATCATCTGATCAACTGTAGATCCCATTTCATGTTATTAATATCTTGATTAATCAATTCAACCTCAACCGTAGCCTTAGATTTAATCATTGTATTGTTCCATCCTGTTTGTTTCGGAAAATTATATTAATTTAGACAGTGATATGTTGATTTAAATTATATTTGCTTTCACATGATCTTAATAGAATCCATAAATCATACCAAATTGGTTTCTTTCTCAAAACAGCAACAATGCTAAATAACCTCAAAGGCACAGGTGATCCTGGCCATAATTTATATCTCATTACCCTTACACCTATCATGCAACCTTGTGCAGGTCACTTAACCTGTCTATGCTTTAGTTTCCATATCTATAAAATGGGTGAGATAGATCCTCAGTTGTGAGTGCTATAATAAACAGTACATTTATATTAAGGACAATATTTTCTTTTTTCAATCCATACTAAGTTTCCTAACCTCCCTTGATCCTTTTGGTATTAACCGTACAAAGGATTTTATATTACAACTGTAATACTGTAAGATTATATGCTTTAAAAGGCCACCAACAATGGCCAAGTTATAATTATGTCATGACAGTATAGAAGAAATCAAACACAGAATAATTAGAACTATAGTTAAAGGCAGGGTCTGGAGAACTGCAAGCAGAAAACTGCCTTCTAAAAAGATGCTTGTTTATCTTAAGAGTTCATAGGACTGCATTTTAAAGAGGCCATGATTATAATGATATATTCTCACAAAATATTTGATCATTTATTTTTAACTATTTATTATACAGGAACAATCACTGTCAGTCTTTAATATGTCAGTCAAAAGTGATTTAAAATTGCCTGAATTTCAGAAATTCAGGAAATCTGCCACCATCATGGGATGACTTTTTATTTCAGTGCCACACCTCATCAATAAAATAACTACTGAATTATCACATCCATAATGATAGGCTCAAGTATATAAAATACATTGTTTTCAGAAGAGTCAGACACTATGCTTTAAAGCAGACTATGATCCTGTTGTATATAACGCTACAGTATATGCAATTTATAATTTGTCTCTATAGCATCCAGAATTGATGCTATAAAGATGAAATACACCAAGGGTTTATGAGATTGAGAAGATGTTTAGAGCTCATTCCTGAACAAGTGAGCAAAGTTCAAGTAAAAGTGCCTTTCATAGGAGAATAGAAATTGCTGGACTGGGTCAGACTGCTGGTCCATCTAGACAAGTTTATTCTGGATCTGACAGTGACTAGGTATTAAATGAAGCGGCAAGAAACTTGGCAGACAACAGTTATGGTTCAACATGTGTAAAAGGGCCAAAGCTCATTAGCAGTTGATCCTTAACCAACTACAACTGGATATAAAGCAAGAGGGATGAGGGGAGTAACACCTAATTCAGTCCTCTGATAAAATCAACTCAGGTTTGGGCCATGTGGACCTCTTACGCAAAGATCCATTGGCTGTACCATTTGTTGCTTCTTCCACACTTCTATTTGGAGACCTTTTGGAATCAATTCTGCAGTGTTTAAGAGTGCAGTATTCATGCAAGTATTCATAATAGATTTGCCTCCCAACATAGTGCAAACTATTTCTGTTTCAGCTTCTGTACCAGATGACTGGAGGATAGTTAATGCAACACCTGTTTTTAAAAAAAGGCTCCTGAGGCAATCCTGGCAATTTCAGGCTGCTAAGCCGAACTTCAATACCAGGCAAATTGGTTAAAACTATAGTAAAAAACAGAATTATCAGACACCTAGATGAACATGATTTGTTGGGGAAGAGTCAACATGGCTTTCGTAAAGGGAAATCATGCCTCACCAATCTACCAGAATTGGTTAACAGACATATGGATAAGGGTGATATAATGTACTTGGACCTTCAGAAAGCCTTTGACATGGTCCCTCACCAAATGCTCTTAAGCAAAGTAAGTGCTTAGAATAAGTGGGAAAGTCCTCTCATGGATCAGTAACTGGTTAGAAGATAGAAAAAAAAAAGGGTAGGAATAAATGGTCAATTGTCAGAATGGAGAGAGGTAAATAGTGGGATCTGTCCTGGGACCAATGATTCTCCACATATTTATAAATGATCCAGAAAAAGGGGTAAACAGTGAGGTGGCAAAATTTGCAGACAATACAAAATTACTCAAGATAGTTAAGTTGAAAACAGACTGCGAAGAGTTACAAAGGGATCTCACAAAACTGGGTGAACTAGGCAACAAAATGTCAGATAAATTCAAAATGTTGATAAATGCAAAATAATGCAAACTGGAAAACAATCTGAACGATACATACAAAATCACGGGGTCTAAAAATTAGCTGTCAGCACTCAACAATCTTGGACTCATTGTTGATAGCTCTCTGAAAACATCTGCTCAATGTGCAGCGGCTGTCAAAAAAGCTAACAGAACATTAGGAACCATGAGGAAAGGAGCAGATAATAAAACAGAAAATATCAAAATGCCACTATATAAATTCATGCTATGCCCATACTCTGAATACTATATGCAGTTCTGGTCACCCCATCTCAAAAAAAAAAAAAAAAAAAACCACATTAGAATTGAAATAGGTACAGAGAAGGGCAACAAAAATGATTAAGGCATGGAACAGCTTCAGTAGGAGAAAAGATAAAAAAGACTGGGACTTTTCAACTTGGAAAAGAGATGACTAGAGGGGATATAATAAAGGTCTATAAAATTGTGACTAGTGTGGAGAAAATGTTATTTAATCATTCACAGAACACAAGAACTGGAGATCACCCAATGAAATTAATAGGCAGTAGGCTTAACACACACAAAAGGAAGTACTTCTTCACACAATGCACAGTCAACCTGCGAAACTCATTGTCAAGGGATGTTGTGAAGGTCAAAACTATAATGGAGTTCAGAAAAGAACTAGATAAGTTCATGGAGGATAGGTCCATCAATGGCTATTAGCCAAGATGGTCAGGGATGCAACTCCATGCTCTGGGTGTCCCTAGCCTCTGACTGCCAGAAGCTGGGAGTGGATGACAGGGGATGGATCACTCAATGACTGCCTGTTCCGTTCATTCCTTCTGAAGCACCTGGAATCGGCCACTGTCAGAAGACAGGATACTGGGGTAGATGGACCACTGGTCTGACCCAGGATGGCTGTTTTTATGTTCTGCTGTGGTTTGGCATCTTGTATGTCCATGTAGGGCTTTTATGAACTATTAGTGACTAAACTAGAAGGAGCATGCAAACTAGTTCAGAATTTCAGGACATAGTACTAGACAACTGAATGGGAAATTTTTTCCAATTAATACAGTCACTTACTTTGTTTTCTCCACTACATCCACTGTTGTCATCATTATCAACATCTTCATCATCTTCTCCTTCCTCTTCCTCCTCTTCCTCCTCATCGTCGTCATCTTCGTCTTCTGGGAGTGGGACTGTACCATCATAGCCATAAAGGCTAAGTAGTTCATTAATTGGCATTTCACCTTCCTGAATAACATCCACCAAGCAAAGTTTTGACTTCCACAAAGACATTTCACATTACACAGACCTTCTCCACATTTTTAAGATATGTATTTTACACGTAACCTAGCATGGGCAAATATGTGAGGAATGCATGTGTTAAGACTATCTCAGCTAACATGAAAATGTGGTCATTGGGAAAAAATTGGAAGCCTTATAAATCTGGGGAAAATTACTTATTGAATGACATATGGCAGGACTTCGAACTTCTAGCAGTGTAGGAATTTAAACCTGATTTTGCATACATATTCCCAAATTATGCATAATACTGACTAGCAGGTCACTGTTCACACAGATACCACTCAGCTCTTCATCACGGGCAAGAGGTAAATACTATTGAGCACATTGTTGCACTACTTTTTAAAATAAAACTACTAAAAATTGTCTACAAATGTGCACAGTTAAAAGTAATCCTTTAAAATATTTGTCCATTTTTAGGTCTTTATATTTAAAAGAGGTTCTACTCTGAAAGATGACTACATATGGCTCCTAATTTTTTTTAATCAACAGTTGTGTTCAGTTTAATACAAAACATTAACTGTCAGCCCTGCAAATTCAACATTGGATCTTTCATTCTCCTGAACCATTAGTAAGAAGTGCTGGCCAAATTATACTCTCTAACACCTATATAACCTCACTGCCTTAAATGGTGATGCACAAGTGCATCTGGTTTGCCCTGTAATTGGAAGTTCGAACTTCTACACGGGGGGAGAGGGAGATATCGATCTAAGATACGCAACTTCAGCTACGTGAATAGCGTAGCTGAAGTCGAAGTATCTTAGATTGATTTACCTTGGGTCCTCACGGCGCGGGATTGACGACCACGGCTCCCCCATTGACTCCGCTACCGCCGCTCACTCCGGTGGAATTCCGGAGTCGACGGGGAGCGCGTTCGGGGAATCGATATATCGCGTCTTAACGAGACACGATATATCGATCCCCGATAAATCGATCACTACCCGCTGATACAGCGGGTAGTCTGGACGTACCCAAAGAAGCAAGGAATCCAGCTGACAATCCCTTAGCATTACAGTGCTCCCAAAAAGCAAAAAAGTAAAAATATATTTTATCATGAAGCCAGTAGACAGGACACAAGCAGCAGATTGGTTGAGTAAGGTGGCAAATTTTTTACATATACAGAGTTCTTCAAAAGAAGAAAGAATAGCTTGAAAGCTTGTCTCTCTCACCAATAGTAGTCCAGTGAAAGATATTACCTCACCCACTTTATCTCTCTTTACTTAGGCGGATTCTCTGAGCCTGCCTTACCACATTACACTCCAAAAAGCTTCGGGTTCTAGCAACCATTTGTGACAAGGTGGGTATCAAATTATGATCTCTATGTTGTTCTATTTGTAGAAATATAAGCACTGTAACTGCACAAGTCTGAACTTTCCCCAGGGCAGTTATTGTATCCCAGAGAGCTACCCTGCCCAGGAAAGATGTATGGCACCTTGAAGGGACTATAACTGAGATCCATCAAGACTGCAATCTAGGGCCATCACTTCATTTCTCAGCTACTGGCCCATCCCCATGAAACAATGTTTTTTTCCTACACAGCGGCCTACAAAGGTAGAGTGGGCAGGAGAACAGAAACATGACAGTTAGATCTGGAGCTTCTTATTGTGAGCACATGGCACAGAGTCTGAGGCCCTATTTAAGGCCACGGAGGGTATACTCTCCATAGGGGGCCAATCACCACCACATGTGAACTTCAAGAGAGACTGCCCAGCCTGAAATGCTGACAAACCATGGACTCATAAATAGGGGTGAACTCAAGACTAGGGGATGGTATGTCTCTGGACTTTGTTATTTTCAAAGATCTATAACTCTTGAATGCTTTAAAAGTAAAGTCACTATGGTTAAGCAATTCCTTTGCTAAACTTGTGTTCCCTTCTTTCCTACTACATGGTCTCTGAAGGGGTTAAACTAGTAAGCCCGGAGTGCCCACAACCTAGGTGGAACTCATGGAGCATGTGACTTGGGAGGTCTAACACTGGTTTCAGGATATACAGGAGCTGGATGGTGGCATTCAATATCTCAAGGAAGGGTGTCAGACAAGAGATCTGAGCCCGGGAAGAGTGTTCCAGAGCTAGAACCAGTGACTAAATTCTGCCCAGACCTAGTTGGCTTGGATCCAAGGATCCATTCACAACAGGCTGATAACTGTACAGTGGAATACAGGGCCAATTTATAAACACCCTTCCTCTACAGAGGGGTAGCACATGCTCCCTCCTAGATCTAAACAGCAACACTGCTCATTGTCTTGCTCAGCAGAGAGCCAAAACATGGAGACCCACCATAGTTTCCAACTCCTGCCAAGGAACAAACTCTGGTCCTGACCTTTGATCATTGCCATGGCATCACAAGGTAGTACACAACTATACCACCAAGCTGACCCTTGAAAAAGTTATATAAAATATAAGGAAGGAAAGCAATTGTATTGAAAGCTCTCTCTACATACTTGAGGAATCTTATTTCCCAGAATTCACCCTTTCTAGACAAAGTGTCTCCAAATTTGTAATAAACTGATTTACTTAACTTCATTTTCATCTTTAATATCAAACCTGCAATTACAAATGTAAGTGACCATTCATTATTGTTACTAAAGATTAAACATGCTAAATAGCTTTTTAAAGTTGAACTGGTAGTGATTTACTGTAGTTGAAGAAAATTGTACTTTAGATATAAATTTGAAGATAATTACATGTGCTGAAAGCCTTTCAACCAATGAAATCACAGACTACATTTAAACTAGTTTAGAATTCATTATGAACATCCTTAACCACAAAGTATTGTTCCTGACTGAATAACCAGTTGCAACTGAAGTCAAAATTCTGCCAAGTTCATATCCCCCAAGAGCCCACTTAAAGCAGTATTTAAATGACAGCAAGAGCCCAAGATAAAAATAAATAAATCTTAGAATGCAATTATTTTCAGTACACATTTTAAGATGTATGCATAGTCATCATTAATTGGTGTTCTAATCTCAGCTCTGCTGACAACTCATGATGTGGCCTTGGGCAAATTGCTTAATCCCTGTCTCAGTTTCCCCACCTACAGAATGGGGTGAATACTACTTATTTCATCACAGGAGTGGTATGAGGATGAATGTTTGTACAAAGAATTTAAAATGTAAAATTAAAAAAAGTTATGGAACGAAGGAGTTTATTTACAGAAATTTGAAACTAACATGTAGTAATCAATTTATGTAAAACAAACATTTAGCTAGAGCACTTCGTTTATGATAGGTCTAAAATAGGACATCTACACCAATAGGTATAAACAAAAAAACTATACCTCAACAAGCATTGCAGTCTATTATATAGACATCAGCTTCTTTGCTACAGATTTTTTAATTGCGAAGTACCTCAACAGGTCACCATTCCTAGGATTTATTTGTTCACCAATGTATTTGTGATCAAAATCCAACAAAATGTAACCATCTTGCATAAATGATATTTTTGTTTTATAACCCATAAGTGCCATTTACCCTTGTAAGATCCTCTATTTCAGAACTGAAGTTTGTTTCTCCTTCCATCATTTCCTCCTCTTCTAATGTCCGTTCATCATCAAAATCATGAACCAGCATATCAGCCGACGGGTCAAATTCATGGTCATCAGATGTTGCTGAACCTCCTAGTATAAAAAATTTGAAAAGAATTTGATCAATCACATCATGGGTTTAAGGAGTTAGCTTGGTTTTAGGGCTGTCAAGCGATTACAAAAATTAATCGCGATTAATTGCACTGCTAAACAATAATAGAATACCATTTATTTAAATATTTTGGGATTTTTCTACATTTTCAATTGCACTACAGTACTTGTATGAGGTGAACTGAATACTATTTATTTTATCATTTTTACAGTGCAAATATTTATAATAAAAAATAATATAAAGTGAGCACTATACACTTTGTATTCTGTGTTGTAATTGAAATCAATATGTTTGGAAATGTAGAAAAACATCCAAATATTTAAATTTAAATTGGTATTCTATTATTTAACAGTGCAATTAAAACTGCGATTAATCGCAATTAATTTTTTTAAATCGCGATTAATTTTTGAGTTAATTGCGTGAGTTAACTGCGATTAATCGACAGCCCTACTTGGTATGAATAAAAATTTCAACAATAACCAAACTAAAATAAAATCTAGACACGAAAGATGTTTGCAAAGTCTGAAGTTTTAAAGAATTCAACTGTCCTATTTATTCAAAGGAGAGGTTCATACTCTGTTTAGATGGTCAAAAGCTACAGAAATAATCAAAGGTGAGGGTTTGACTTCCGTTTTCAAAGTACTGCACAGTTGCATGACACCAACTGCTGCTACACACAGCCCTCAGCTTAATCTCTATACAACTGATAATTTAGGGGTTGGTGTCTTCAAAAGCTGAGATATTCAACAGCCTGCACCAGAGTTCTACACTGGGTAAATTACTACAAATATTGACCATGATGTACATGAAGGGAATTTTCTTGGCTTCTTGGAAGGTACCATTCTTAAAACTGAAAGGACATGAATGGAGTATTGTTATTCATAATTATAGATTAGAAGGAAGTTTTAAGACTTTGCACACTTGGTCAAGACCTTGGCATTCAGGCAATTTTCTACCTTTTTTTGTTTTTTCCCCCTTTCGCATGATTCTTTGTAAAAAAGTCTAGATATAGTAACAATTAGCAGTAATAAGTGAAAAAATAAATGAAAGGCAGATTGCTAACAGACTGAGCACAATGCTGAAACCCACGAACTATTGATTTATAATCCCAGCACTTCTAACTACTTGCCTTGGGCAAGTAACTTCATCTGTGTTTCAGTTTCCAAATCTGTAAAAAGTGATAATATGTAGCTCACAGTGGTGTTATGAGCATTAATGTTTATAAATCCATTTTAAAATATCAAGTGCATCAACTATCATTAAATGAGTTTTAGCAATATTTAAGTTTTCAAATATGTTGTAGTCCAGGGATATTAACAGTGAAATTTAGCATCTACTTTGCAATGGGAAGCTTAGTAAATGTCTTCAGGTTATGAAGTCACTGACGGTGACAATTTACATCACAGAAAGACATTAAGAGATCTCCAAGAAAAAAAAACTGTTTAAAACATGAATTTGCATGTTAAAGGAATGGAAAAATCACTTATTTTAATAAACATTTCCAACTTTTTATAGTACCTGACACTATTAGGTAGTCATGCATGCTGCTATACAATTACATAATGTACTGAATTATTTTGTTTGGTATTTTCACTACATGAAAGAACACTACTGAACAATGATGCTCTGTAAAATCTTAAAAATTAAAGATTTGATTGCTTTTGTTGATGCAGTAGCTTCCAATGCCCAAACCTGATCTTTTGTAGGACTTGCAGCAGAGCAGAGTCTGGCTTTCATTTGAAATGATCTCCCCATAATTTGCAGAAAACATCTATTTGCTGAACAGATAATTTCATAACTAAAAGCAGCATATTTATTACCTAAAGTAGCAAAAATATCCGCTGACACGAATTCTAAAAGAAATTCCAGTTTCTCACGGAACACCAGTATATGTAGGTGTGATTTTTTTGCTGAAATAACTATACCAGTACAGCCCCTAGCGTGGATATAGTTATAGAAGTAAAAAAGGCCTTATACTGATATAACTGCATCTACACTAGCGGTTTGTACTGCTTTTATTGCTAAAGCATAGTTAAATGGTATAACTGTTCAAGACAAGGTAGTCCAACAAAAAAGTGAAGCTGCTAATGTTGGAAGGCTTGCATTTAAACTACTAGGATGTTAATCTTGACAAGGACAATCATCTTGGACAAAGTGTTATATAATTAACACTGGTTACTGTAGTAGCAAGGTGTGAAAAAGCAAGCACTCAGTCTTTATTACAACACTGCACACTAAAAAGCCCAGCAGAAATGAGTTAATCATATCAGATCAGACATCAACCAGTTTTTAAAAGAGATGTGATGGAAATTCCTTTTTTTTTTTTTCAGTAATCCATAGAAGCAAATATGCTCCTATTGATTACAGTCCACAGAGTGTACTGCAGGATCAGTGAAAAAAAGCCTTTGGTTTTCCTGCTAATGTGAGTGAATTTCATGCATGGAAAACATGGGACAAATATAACGGTCACTAGTCTTGTATTATGTACTAGTCAAGTTATAGACATAATACATACAAGTAGCTGCTATGCAAACGACAATGCTCTGTAAATTGACCTTAATCTTGATCCACATAAATTTCTGCACTTTCCGTACTGGTCATCTACTAATCAAAGGCTGCCAATTATGTCAAATTGTGTGATGGTTTTGTGATGTATGGAAATGAAAAATACAGTTAGTATACATATTCCTATTTGTGTCTTAAATGACAAATATAAAATATAATAACTAGAACGAATTACAATCACTACAAATAATTAAAGTATGCCAAAATATAACAATGATTAAAAATCAAATTGGAAGCGGTCATCTTCACTGTCTAATAGTTTACGTAAGACAACGTAAGATGCATAGGAAAGATACTTTCAAAGGTGTACGTTATTTTTAAGATTTAAAAACGATTTAATTATTCAATTAACAAACCTAATTAAAAATTAGAACCATACAACAGTGATAACCCTGTAGTAACTGGGAATATGCAATGCCTCTAATTTCAACTTTGCACTGTTAATTCCAATAGCAATAATATTAAAAAAAATAGAAGGTAATGACTGGCATTTTACTGAAGTGTTCCCCTCCCTCTCAAACATAATACTACATTAAAATTTTTACCTGGGCTTGAAGACTGAAGAGAAGGCTACAAAGAAAAAAATAAATTAGTTTTTCCATATTAAGTCTGTACAAACAAACATAGAAGGTGAATTCAATAGCTGATCTGATACAAACAATTATAAATAAGCAGTGAATTGACAGTCACTTTTTCACCAATATATCAGAAACATCTTAGCCATTCTAAGTGGGTTTAAAACAACAAACAAGATTCATTTCCTTCTTTATACTTCCAGCCTTGCTATATTTAACCTAATGGGAAGAATTCCCCATTTTGTGAAGCAATAATTGAGTTCCTGAGAGTATAAAATACAGCAATTCTGAAACCAAGTTAAATAGCCCCCCATCTCCCAAACTATAAGTAGTACATCACAAAAAAGCCCCATTTATATTTAGATAAAATACTAAAAACTTTTTCCCCCTTCAACAAAGAAAAAGAAGAAACTGCAACAGGAAGTTCACGTAAAGCTTAGGAAGGAGACAAACTATTAGATATCAATCTGTGACCCAAAACTGGGAGAAGTTTGAAAGTTTTCTTAAAAGCCATCTGGTCCTGCCCAAGCACTAGTGTAATGCTAAAAAGCAACAGAGGGTCCTGTGGCACCTTTAAGACTAACAGAAGTATTGGGAGCATAAGCTTTTGTGGGTAAGAACCTCACTTCTTCAGATGCAAGTAATGGAAATCTCCAGAGGCAGGTATAAATCAGTAATGTGTAATCAATAGTGTAATGCTAGTTTGTCAGAAAAACAGGAAATTGTATTGACATTATACTGCAAACAATATTTTAGAATTCTGGAATATAAAAAAGTCTATACTTCAGCAAAGACCTTTTATTATAGAGGCTCTATATAGGTTAAATCTCCATACTGACTCACTTTAGCAGCCCATGACCTGCATAAGGCATTTCCAGCATCCCCCTTCCCCCAACGTAAATTGCATTGAAATAAACCTTCTAATGCAACTCGGAAAGAAAGCTGCTTTTTTAGCAATTTTTCCAAACGTGAAATACTAATATTTAAAAAGGACTAGCTAAAAATGTTAGTTTACTTGACCAATGTTTTGTGTTAGAGCTACAGATGTGCACAAGTAAAGTTACCTGAATATTTTTGCCCTTCTCTTAAACTGCATCCTACTATAATGGTCAAAAAGATTTGGAGGTGTGTTTATGGGGGCTATTGTGGCCAGCAGGATTCACTATAGTAACATATACATACCAAAAAAAGATAGTGAACATACAAATATTTATTTCAATGGAGCTATTACAGTCTATTTTAGTCACCTAAGAACGGTCATCTTGGGTCAGACTAATGGTCCATCTAGCCCATATCCTGTCTTCTGACAGAGGCCTGTGCCAGATGTTTTAGAGAATGAATAAAACATGGCAATTATAGAGTGATCCAACCCCATTGCCCAGTTCCAGCTTCTCGCAGTTAGAGATTTAGGGACACCCAAAGCATGGGGTTGCATCCCTGATCCTTTTGTCTAGTAGCCATTGATGGACCTATCCTCCATTAACTTATCTAGTTCTTTTTTTGAACCCAGTTATACTTGTGGCATTCATAACATCCCCTAGTAACAAGTTTCACAGGTTGTGCATTGTGTGAATACTACTTTTTGTTTGTTTTAAACCTGCTGCCCGTTAATTTCAGGGGGTAACCCCCTTGTTCTTTTGGTGTATGAAGGGGTAAATAACACTTTCCTATTCACTTTCTCCACAACATTCATGATTTTATAAACTTCTGCCATGTCCCCCCCTTAGTGGTTGCTTTTCTATGTTGACCAGTCCCAGTCTTTTTAATCTCTTCTCATATGGAAGCAGTTCCATATGCTAATTATTTTTGCTCTTTCTTTGCAACTTTTCCAATTCTAATATGTTTTTTTCAGATGGGATGACCAGAACCGTATGTAGTAATCAAGGTGTGGACATACCA